AAAAAAAAAAAAAAAAAAAAAAATGCAATTATATAGGCAGCATTCAAATGGCCGTGTCCTGGTCTAGATGAATGAAAATCAAGTTTTTTTTTTTTAAATAAATAATACACATCAAGATGAAATTTGCTTTTTAGTTCATTTTTCCAAGCATAAAAAATTATAGGAATAAGAATTTGCTATTGGGGGGGGGGGAGACGAGGTGTTATCTTAAAAATTGGTTGTTCGGCGGCACCTGTGGCTCAAGGAGTAGGACGCTGACCCCATATTCTGGGCATGGTGGGTTCGAGCCCAGCCCCGGCCAAAACTGTAAAAAATAAAAATAAAAAAAATAAAGATTGTTTGCAAAGATGTTTAAAAGTTTTATTTATTATGGATTGTTCCTAAATTTTTTATAATTCTCTTTCTACTTTTGGCTGACTGTGCAAAGAATACCAAGATAATTCTCCAGCTAAGGAACTCACTAAGCCTCTGTAACATTTGTTGGCTGGGTGTGTTACTGACCCCAAGCATGTTAACAGCACCATATCACCAGGAACCATTTCCGCAAACTCTTGGCAGTCAAAGGATTGTTGTTTGCTCTTTTTCTGACTCTTTCTCCAAAAGGTACCCAAGCCTGTAGGGGCTTTCCTTTCCAATAAAGAGCCAAGACGTGCTGTCTGGGTCTATTTGCATTTTGTAATTATGAACCGTATTTTTGTTTAACTTTCAATATGCAGTTAGCTGTCAAAACTGCAACATCTATTGGAGTTTTGAATAAATAAACATCATTTATTTCAAAGCAATTCTTGGGCAAGTAAGTGAATGCCTACTATTTGAACAACAGCCTGTCTGTCAGGATTTTGCAACCTTGATACTGTGGACATTTGGAGCCAGATTATTTCTTGGTTGTGAGGATATATCCGGGCCCTTTAAAAATGTTTAGCAGTATTCCTGACCCCTGCCAGAGACTGACCCCCGCTTATGTCAGCCAAAAATATCTCAACATTGGCAACTATCTCCTTGGAGGGAATTCATTCCTGGATGACTTTTTGAAAAGAGTTAAATATGAAATATCATATATTTCCCTTGGGGTTATTCATTTTTTTTCCTCCCCACCCACAATTCAATGTTGAAGGTAATTGGATGCACTAAAAAAAGTAGTGGAGGTGTTATTAGAAATTCCAAAATTCCACCGTTTTCAAGATAAAAAGAAGAGGAGGCTTTTACAGAAAAAGGCAAAGTGGAGGACTAGGTGCCAGGGGGCTCACACCTGTCACCCCAGCACTCTGGGAGGCCAGGGCTGGTGGATCCCTTGAGCTCAGGAGTTGGAAACCAGCCTGAGCTAGAAAGTGACCTTGTTTCTACAACTAGCCGGGCATAGTGACACCTGCCTGTAGTCTGGGCTACTCAGGAGGCTGAGGCAGGAGGATCCCTTGAGCCTTAGGGTTTGAGGTTTGCTGTGAGGCCATGGTACTCTATCCAGCATGAGCAAGTGAGATTCTGTCTCAAAAATGGAAGAAAGAAAAGGAGGGAGAGAGGAAGGGAAGGGATGAAAGAGGCGAAATGGTAGACATGGCTTTGACCTTGGCTATTTTGAGCTCCTTAATAAGTGAATGGATTGTAACTTTGACTTTCACAATATGGAGAAGAATGACCTTTCTTATCCTTTCTCTCCTTTGCTTTCAATTTCTCCTCGTATCCCCAGGGACCCTAACCAACCAGTTCCCCAGGACACCAAGTTCATTCACACGAAGCCCAACCGCTTCGAGGAGGTGGCCTGGTCCAAGTACAACCCCAAGGACCAGCTGTACCTGCACATCGGCCTGAAGCCGCGCGTGCGCGACCACTACCGGGCCACCAAGGTCGCCTTCTGGCTGGAGCTGGTGCCGCACCTGCACAACCTGAACGAGATCTTCCAGTACGTGTCCACCACCACCAAGGTGCCCCCGCCCGACATGACCTCGTTCCCCTACGGGACGCGCCGCTCCCCCACTAAGATCTGGCCGACCACCAAGCGCCCGGCCATCACGCCCGCCAACAACCCCAAGCACGCCAAGGACCCGCACAAGACCGGGGGCCCCGAGGACACCACGGTGCTCATCGAGACCAAGCGGGACTACTCCACCGAGCTGAGTGTCACCATCGCCGTGGGCGCGTCCCTGCTGTTCCTCAACATCCTGGCCTTCGCCGCGCTTTACTACAAGAAGGACAAGCGGCGCCACGAGACGCACCGGCGCCCCAGCCCGCAGCGCAACACCACCAACGACATCGCGCACATCCAGAACGAGGAGATCCTGTCCCTGCAGATGAAGCAGCTGGAACATGACCACGAGTGTGAGTCGCTGCAGGCGCACGACACGCTGCGGCTCACCTGCCCCCCGGACTACACGCTCACGCTGCGCAGGTCCCCGGACGACATCCCGCTCATGACGCCCAATACCATCACCATGATCCCCAATACGCTCACGGGCATGCAGCCTCTGCACACGTTCAACACGTTCAGTGCGGGGCAGAACACCACGAATTTACCCCACGGACACTCCACCACCAGAGTATAGCTTAGCCCTCCACGCCCCTCCCCTGCGCCCGCCTCCCCTCCGGGACGCGCGCGCGAGAGAACTGGCCAGAGAGAGAATGAACATCTCCAAACTGGGAATATTTGGTATCCCACTGACTCAATGCAGAAAGGACAGTCACCCCTCCCGTCCCTGCGGACACGTCCCCTCATCGAATTCTGACCCTATGAAATGTGAAAACAGACATTTCTGGTACCAATCCCGCTTTAAGGACGATCCCCATCTGTCCACCCGCCGCCTGGCGCACCTGTCCCAAGGACCTGGCTATTTCCAACATCACGGTAGCAGCTGACAATTCGGGACCTCGGCCAGGGACACTTAATATTTTTTAATTATAATTGGGAAAGCTAAGAAACAAAGTTTCTTGATGTGCCACATAACAGCTGACTTTACATAAGCAGAGGACGAGTCTGCGCGCTTTGACGCAGCGTAGGGCGCCGAAATCCGGAGAGAGCGACGAGTAGGATTTTATTATTCCAATCAAAGTGTGGATTATGTGCAGTGGAATTCGTACGGTTCTGTGCAAAGACACGCTTTGCCAGCCTGAAACTCTATTTAAGAAACTTTGTAAAAAAATAAAATAAAAATAAAAATGTATATAGCTGTGAGTTTAAACAAACAACAACAAAACCCACCCACACAAACAAAAAGGAAACAAAAAAAAAGAAAAAGCTTTTATTGGTGTTTTTTCAGTTTGAAAGAGCTTTTAGCAAGATTGTGCTTTTGTTATGCTCCGTATGTATATAAATATATAAATATATATACACACACACATCCATTAGTCATACCTCCTGTTTCCTGCCCAACAGAGACAGAAAAAAGGCTCTTCTTCTTAATTACCTGTGTTTGACAAAGACACCGATTTTCATTTTGTAGGCAGATATGTTAAGGTCAGGAAGACCTAGAGGGTCTGGTGTGTCCTATCTCATCACCTCTTTTCTGGTGACACCAGTGCATGAGGCAGTGGTCTTAGGAGGCTGTTGTTTGGGGAAATTTTTATTTTCAGGGCAACGCTAAGATGGGTCCCCCAAGGTGGAATGTATTTAAAACACAGCAAATTACACACACACACACACACACATACACACACACACTGACAGCAAAGGAAAAAAAAATACAAGTCCCATTCTGTCATTTTTGGCCCTTTTGAATATGGTTAGGAAGAGACGCTTCCCACCCCAGGCCCCTGCCAGGAAAGGAAGAAAGCTTGCCTTTGGCAGGGCCCGGCCCCTCTGCGTAAATACGGCCTGTGTTTCAGCACAGCTGCAGAGAGGCCCGGCTGCTTAAGAACCTGGTCAGCTTAGCTAATCAGATTGGAGAGTACGTGTCTTGCCTCTTTCTATTAAAGCAGTAAGTCCCTTATTTATCTGTAAGTGAAGGCTTTTTTTTCTTTAATTCTCTTATATCATTTACGGGATAAAAGATATCCTCGTCTGAAAATATTCCTTTTTGTGGCTTTGTGAAAGCAGTCACGTTTGGTGACGATTACAGGAGAGGGGCTTAGCCAAAGGATGGAATATTAGCAGTTTATTGCACGGGTTTTCTGGGAAATTAGGGCTTCACTGTCAAGATGCGAAGGGGAAATTATTCACCGGTTTCAAATTGGTGACCTGAGGGTCAGAGATTTGTCTGTGTCTCCAACTGCTGTTCATTCCGTCACCGCCCTTTTAAATTTCATCCGGGAATGTGTTACGTCTTCTGTGGTGGAAAGAAAAGCTATGGTAGTGGTTTATTTTCTGGTTTGTCTTTCAAAAGTTACTGCACTCCCCCCTAGAAATAGTAGCCAAAGATATCTGATGACAATGCCCCCCGCCTTGATGAGGGCTGTTGCAGACGTCCAGTTTTAAAAGTCCCTGCAAAGGTGAGAGCTCTCCCTGAAGATGGGACAGCTGTCTCAGCTCTTTGCAATAATCACCTTTGATTACTGACCCCCCCCCCCCCGGTTAAAACTCTACCCATATAATCAGTGTTTGGCAATGACCTCTAGAAAAAAAGAGAGTTCTCAGAAATGCATAGAAATCACCTCCTCCCCCACCCTGCCAAAAAAAAAAAAAAAAAATCCTGTTGCTTATCTTGGTTTAAATTCCAGAGCGATTCTCTGTATATAAACATGTGGCATATTCTGATCTCAACTTAGCACACAGGAAACGACCCCTCTTTCCTGCAGCGAGGTGTCATGGATAAGATTTCGTTCCCAGCTCATCATTTTCTATAGGTATTATCAGGCCATTTCTGCAAGCTTTGTGTGACAGTAACGGGCCATCACCAAATCGGCTGTCCAAACTTCAGGGGAAGTGGCATTTGGCATTCATGTCTGTTCGGTCTGTTTGTAATGTGAATCCCAGTATTTGTTTAGTACCTATCTCTAGTTGTCTCTGCTAGCAATATGTACAGTAACTTGTCAGGCTTGTGACACTTGGACAAGGAAAAAAAAAAGTTTCTGTTAAGTGAATAGCTTTTACAGAGGATTATGGTCAAAAGCAATTTAATACATCTTAAATGATGATTTCTACGTGGAAAGATGTTATAGAATCTTCATAGAGTTCTATGAAAAAAAAAACCCTATACTTGCTATCTATAAAAAAGAGAGGGAAAAAAAGAGAAAAAAATAAGAAAAAAAAATAACTTTCCTATGCTTTTATCCTTGATCTTCAAAGGCACGCAGGGTTTACTGGTTCCTTGGGTTATTATTTCGCAATTTTGTTTTTGATTTTGCCTTAAGTAATGATAGAAGATATATATGGCCGGACACATATGTATAAACTTTTCAGCAGCATTTTTAATAATAAAATATCACAGTATTTTCTAATGCTTTGTGCAAATAATTATGCGTCCGCTCTTTCTTTGTGGTTGACATCCCTCGTTCAGTCTTGTTTTAAACCTTTAAAGCCTTTATTATGGTAAATGCTAAGATGCACATTGAAATAGATGAGAAAAATCATTTGTAACATGTGGGTTTCTTTAAGCTTGCCTGGGTGCACCTTTTTTTGTTGCCACTATTGAAAATGTCCCATGGGCACGATTTTGGGGAAAATGAAACCCTTGTTGGTGAAACTCCAAGGAAGTTGCTGCGAAATGGAATATTTGGATTTATTACTGTCTGTGCTTACGTCACTGTGTCTTGAGTTGTGTTTGACATACAATGCCTTAAAGCTAGGGTGACCAGACGTCCTGCTTTTTTGTCCTGTGTCCTGCAGCGTTTTAAAAAAATTTTTAAATTTAAATTCGTTCCAATTTTTAGAAAGAATGCACCAACGGGCAGGAGAACAAGAAGGGAATATACGGTTTTCGGCTGCCATGTGGCTATTTTGCCAGAATATGAGTTTTATATTATTTTTGTTGATTTTATAATGTTAAACTGTAGTAATAACAAATAATTGCTGAGAAGTGATTATGGAGAACTGCTTATCAAAGTTTGCATTGTTGTCAGGCCCTGCCCTGCCCCGCCACCTGCCCCCCCTGCCCCGCCCTCGCCCCCCCCCCATGCTGTCCCAACTTACTGATGTTAAAATCTGGTCACCCTACTTGAAGTCATCAAGCTTTCCACTAGAGAAACTTTGCTGAGTAGATCTTCACGTGAGGGCGAGATATTCTACTGATGAAAATTCAAGAGACAGAAATATCGCTGTCATGCCAATGGGAGCTGATTTGGCCACTTGTAACCTCACTGGGCCTTCACGGCAGCTCTGAGGGGGCAGACACCTGTGCTAGCTCTCATTTTCCAGTGGGACATGTTCAGAATAAGAACCCCGAAGCTTCTCTGAGGGTCTGTCCCCAGTGCCCAGTCTTTCCACACAGAGGTTATAATGCAAACAATTTTAAGCCAAGGTCCTGTGTGACATAACCGTCCTCGCCAAGGATCAGATAAAGAGAAATGGGATAGACCAAAGCTCCCCGTTCTGTTCCAACTCCCAAATGGTTCACCTGTTGGTCTCAAGTTATTTTGTGAAGGCACCAGGGAAAAGGATTCTCACACACACACACACACACACAGACTTCAAAGATGTCCGTAGTGATATTCAGCAAAGAGGCAGGTACCACTTACTCTAGGATGAATTCCCAAATTTAATGGTCTGATTTCGTACCTAGATTTGGAGATGCGCATGCACTACAAGTGTTTTAAGATGGCATTTCTAGGGGGTGGCGCCTGTGGCGCAAGGAGTAGGGGACCAGCCCCATGTACCAGCGGTGGTGGGTTCAAACCTGGCCCCAGCCAAAAAAAAAAAAAAAAAGATGGTATTTCTGTTAAATATACACACATATATACACATGTGTGTCTTTAACACGATGCCATTTTTAGGAATTCAGAGATAAATCTTTTTTTTTTTTCCTACAGTTTTGGCTGGGTCTGGGCTTGAACCCACCACCCCCAGTAAATGGGCCAGCACCCTATTCCTTGAGCCACAGGTGCCACCCTTACTTTCTGATTTATGAGGAGTAATGTAGCCCAGTTAATCGTCACCAAGAGTTAAATCTTTTGCACATTTTAGCTAGAGGAAGGGTCACTCTTCTTCTTGCCAGTTAATGCATTTTTGCCCATGTCCAATAACCCAAGGCATGGTATAAATATTCATTCATTTATGCACCAAAGGATCATGGGGCTTCTTCCCCTGGTGGCCAGCATTACAAATGATAAAACAGCTTCCCTCCTAAAAGTCAAAACAGAAGCAAAGACATAGAGAGACACAGAGATGAGGTGGGTGCAGAAATGGCACGCAGTGTGTTACAGAGTCTGCACCCAGGTCCTTAACCCTCCTCTGGGGACAGTGGGGACACCTTCTCCTGGAAGAGAGCCCTAAGCCAGGTCTTCCCAACTGTGTGGAAAATACAGTTATGGGACGTGGGGAATAAAATTCTGCTCCTGTGAGGTGAGGAGACTAAGAAAGTTGAGGAAGGTGTGAACAGGACAACAGCAGTAACTGGTTGATAAAACGCCTCTCATTGTAAGAGGGGGAGTTTAGATTTCATTCTAAAGTCGGCTG